GTAGAAATAATTATTCTATATTTATGAGTATTAAATTTTATTTATTAATTTAATTAGATTTATTAAAAAATATTAAAATATTTAATTCATTTTATTTTAGATTAATATTATAATTGATAAAAATGATTATCATATAAATGCAAGGAAAAATTTATATAAAAAAAATATATGGTAAAGTAGAATATTTTATTTCATATGAATATAATAAATTAGTTTAAATTTGCTTATAATTATAAAATTGATAATTTGTAATATAATAATTATAAATAGTTATATTTTAATAAATTTAATGGTTTTCAATTTATTAAAGTTATAAATATAAATCATTATATTAGATTTTTAAAGATAAAAATTTTATATTTTATATAGAGAGAAAATTTAATAAAATTATTTTTACTATTTATTTATTTATTTATTTTGATAAGTATTATTATATAGTTTTATATAATGAATATTTTTAAAGATGCAATTTTATTTAAAATTAATAATATTATATTATCTAATAATATCTGTAAATGTGTAAATTTTCTGCATTTAAATTAATACATTCATAAAATTTTACAATTGAAAAATATTAAAAATATTTTATTATTTTATATATTTTTTTTTTTAAATAATAAAATTTTAATTATTAAATTGTATTTAATTTTCTATTTTTTCTTTTATTCATTATTTTCAAAAGAATTTGTATTTTTTATATTTACAAAAGTTTCAAAAAATAAATTATTATGTATAAAATATACCAATGAATTCTTAACACTAATATATAAAAGATTACCATTGATACCATATGAAGTCAATCCTACTGCGTCACAAAGATTGACGAATGATCAACATTATTAACATCATTAATATTTTTAACTTAGTTAACATTTATATTTTATTTATTTTATTCTTATATTTTATTATTATTATTTATTATATTAGTATTATCGTTAAATTATAATTTATTTCTTATATTTATCTTAACATTATAAAATATTTTAGCATTAGATAGTAAATTCTTATAATTGTATTTTTGTATAAATAGGATAGAAACTTGTCCTTGTAAAAAGGGCAGAGATAACAGTGATAACTTAATAATTCGAGTTTAAGACTTAGAATCCAAGGTTAAGGATTGCTAAGAATACAAATTTCTACAATAAAGGAATCTCTTTCTAAATTACACATATTAAAAATCCTTCAACGTGTCAATTGTATTTATTGTGTTTACAAATTGTTAAAATTATTTTAATTGTCTAAAGTATAAACCTAAGGTTGATTGTGATAGGACTTATTTCACAGTAACTTAATAATTTCTCATACGTTACTCCCTATTATTAAGTCATAGTTACCCTAAGTTTGACGGGTTAAGCAAAGGGTTAACAACATATACAAATAAATTTGATCTAAATGCTAAAATATTTTCAGATTTCAATTTACTCTTATATTAAGTTGTGAAAATATTACATCATCTTTTTCCTAATCTTCTAATAGTATAAACTAATAAATTTTATATTTATCATCATTATAATTGATACAATAGTTGCAAATGATATTAAAATTTACTATACACATTCAAAATACCTTAAACAATATTTTACCTATATATAATAAAATAAAATAAGTATAAATAAAAATAAAGTTTATTAAAAATAATAATTTTTTAAATTAAATAATTTATCTGATCTGAAAAATAAAGATTACTTAAATTATTAAATATTAATTAATAATAAAATACTATTATATTTGAAATATAATCTGTTAATTTATTGATATTATATAACATTTTATTAATATAACTATTAATTATTAAATTAAATATATATTAAATTAAAATAATAATAAATAAATAATAAATAAATTAATTATATATCATAAATGATTCAGGTAATCTTCTTTTATTTGCTTTTTTTATTTATAAATATAATCTTAAAATTGATAAACCACTTTATTATTATTATGAAAATTCTAAAATGCTTTGTAAATAGCTAAATTTTTATGACTAAAAGTGAAGGTTATTTAACTAAACTTATAGATTTAAATAATTGGTAAAATTAAATATAGCTTAAATGTTTTACTAAAATATTTCAAAAATATAAAATTATGAAATATTTCACAGGTTTCACAAATTCACAAAAATTTTATATAATATTTAATAGAATTTCATTAATTATAAGTTTCACAAAAATTTATATAGTATTTTAATAGAATTTTGCTAATTATAAGTATATATATTATACTAAACTACATTAAATTATCAGATTTTTTTTATATATATTAAAATTATATATAAATTATAATTTTAGTTATCAATTAAATATAATTTTTGTGTAATAAATAATTAATAATAAAATTATGCTAAAATAATTTGTGGATATTATATTTATTATAAAATAAAATTTATATTTTAATAGACTAATATTTAGTGTATCTGCTTTTAGCCTTAATTACTGCATTAATATAATTAGTTAAGCTTAAAATTAAGTGATATACCATCCTTATTCTAATTTTTCTCTATTATATTATTAATTTCTATTTATATTTAAGTAAAGGCTTTCTTTTTCCAACCTGCTGATCTAAATGATTTTACAGATTCTTAATCAAATTAAGATTAGGACTTTATATAGGGTTAGATCAGTCTAGTTCAGTCTAGTTTGATCTAAAAAGACTAGTCTTTTATCTTCTTTGAACTGAATCAGTCCATAAGTCAGTCCTAGGACCAGTTTTGTATCATTCAGTCCTATCAGTCTAGTCTGATCTAAGATTTGATTTTTTTCTCAAACCTAACTGATTTATAAGATTAATTAAAAGATCAGTTTAGAACATACTAGAAAAATATAAATGATCAATTTAATAAAATAATTGTATAAATTAAATAAAAAAGTATAATAAAATAATTGCATACAAAACAATTCCTGTGCCTTATTAATCTCATTATTCTGATATTTTTATTTCAGATATTATCATTACAGTAAACTATTATGACAGGTCCAAGGACTGACTTATGGATTAGACCTCTTCATAAGAGAGATGAAATCCAGGTTAATCCAACTCTAATTTTGTAATATTTTATAAATCAAACAATCTATTTAGTATTTATAAAATTTAAAATAATATGTATAAATAATAAAAGACTAGTCCAGACAAGTTCTCAAAATATGGACTGAGAATCGCAAGAATTGGTCCTATTAACCAGTTTAAGATCAGTCTTACCAGGACTGATCCATTTCTAACTTTGTATCACTTAATCTAAGATTAGAATATCTTGTGTTTTTATCTATCAAATGCTATAATTTGATGTATAACATAGAGTTTCGTCTTACTAAAAAATAGAGTTAAGATAGTTACTAACCTATAGTATGAAGTAGTTAGTAAGAATATTAATATATGCATCAGAATTCATATTTCCTTCTACTATAACTAAAGGTCTAACCTCATGCTAACTAAAATAACCCCAAAACATCACTAAATCATCATCAAATTTAATTGTAAATAAAATATAATTTTTATTATAAGTTTCTCTAAGACTTTTCTAAACTCTTATTCTTTTATCTGATTCAAAAAGAGCAAATCTGAACTCATCAGATCATATTATCTTTTCTATTCATCACTCTAGTTTCATTTCTCTCTACTCTATTTTAACCTATTCTTTAGTTGTTTTTAGGTTAAAAGGAATTTTTTATAAGCAACATAACTACTGAGACCTTTATTATAAAGGTATTTTCTAACAATATTATTATGTAAAGTATTATCAAGACTAGAGTTTAATCTGTCTGTTATATTATTAAAAAAAGTGAACTGATTATTTCAAATGATACATTGTAGGGTCTATTTATCACATTGATTAAGTATTTTATAATGATCAAGACGCTTCTCAGGCATTGCAGAACCTATTTCTTTATATCTTTTTATAGTATCATTAACAATGCTAGTGAGAATACCAAGCTGAGTTAAAATAACCATTTATTTAGTACTACTCAGATATGCACTAATAATTCTTTCACATTAAGCTTCAGATAACTCATTTTCACATATTTCTATTTTGTAGAAGATAAAGAATATGTATGTATTTTTTTTATTATTTTTATATATATTAGAAAAAATCACAAATTTATTATGAATACAATAAATTACGTGATTATAAATCTGGTAATTTAATGTAAATTATTGTATAAATCTTAAAAAACTTTATTATATTAAATTTTATTAGTTAAATTTCAAATTATGTTTAACAAAGAAAATTTTGTAAATATATATTAAATAATCTTTTTTATAATAAATTTAATTTATAACAGCCAATTAAAAATTAGAAAAAATTAGATTAATTTTGATTGGTTAGAATTCTATACTTTCAAAATTTTCAGTTTTCAAAATTTCTATATTTTAAACTATGGAAAATTATAATTGGCGATCCAAGCCACCATAATGATCCCTCAAGATTGACCAATCATATTTGAGATTATGTAAACAAATTTGTATAACACAAAAATAATATGTACGAGAACACATGAAATACGTGCATATGCTATTAAATTTTTGTATTACGCGAATAGTCATATAAAAAAGCTTACACTTTTACACATATTGCGTAAGTGGCTTTGGTTTTTTATTCTTTAATAAAAGTACCAATATTAGTCATTTTTTATTATAATATCAGAGCTAACATATCTATTACCTAAAATATAACCTTTTTTTTTATAGAAATTCAAAGCAAAGAAATGAAAATTGACCTATTTTTGGCATTATTAACGTTTTCTTTTAGAATTTGCTTTAAAACTGACCTTATGACTTATTATTGTTTAATTTAAATCATTTTATCTACCATTTCTTTGCAACCTGACTTGTTATATATAGAATTATTTTATCAGATTTATATAACTACCTTTTTTTATAACTTATAATACCTGACTTTGTCAACTTTTTTATATTTTATAACTTGTCTTCATTTTCATTTATAATGGATAAGAAATTTAATGAATTGATGACATATGATAGTGTAGAAGACTTTTCTGATACAAATGAATAAGAAGTAAGATATTTTAGTTAGTAAATTGTAAAAGTTGTAAAAGTTAACATATCTAATATTTTCTTGCTTATTTTCTAATTTTTAGGTTTGACAATATTACAGATATGGTGAATATAGTAAATACAGTAGATGTGATGGATGCAGTAGATGTGATGGATATAATGAATATAACAGATACAATAGATACGATAGATGCATTAGAACTGTTTGTTGGTAAAACTTTTCAAAACTAAGACTATGTAGCAAAATTCATGAAGAAATATATTGCTTCTAAAGTTCATGGAGTACAGATAGGTGGTGGCAGCAAGGTAGACAATGTAACAAAGGAAACTATAAAGTAAACTTACCTTTGTCACCATACTAGAAAGGCAAAATCTAGCTAAAAATCACTTCATCATTCAAATGCATCTTCTTGTCGAATAGGATGCCTATAGAAAGTTAACATTTGAATTAAGAAGAGTAAAAACTATCTTGAAGTCACAAATTTTCATAATCAATATGTTAGCCATGAGCTTCATATGTCAGTGAACTGATTTGATCTAATATTACAAAAATTATCAGAAGAAATCATTAAAGAAATTCATTTCCTAACAGTCGTTGCCAAGGTGAATGCTACTATACAGTATCAAATAATTTGAGAGAAATATAAAACTAGAATTTACCAATGAGATTTATATAATACTGTTAGTAAGTTTCATCATGAATTAACATTAGATGAAGAAGATACAGGATTATTATTAAGAAGACTCTATGATAAAAAGATTGAAGATCCACAATAGGTAGTCTTGATGAAATTTGATCCTATTACTTTTTTATTAACTCACCTTTTTGGATAAGTCCTGAGCAATAAATTTTGTGGTTACGTTACCACAATATAGTAATACATGATAATACAGAGGGTCACCAAAAGTCTCCAAACACCACTTTTTAAGCGTGATTACATGCTAGTAACGTCACGTAACTTAATAATATTATGGTCACATGACGTTTCGGAGTTTGTTTACATAAATCAAACTTAATAAATACGCATTTTGTTTGTTTATTTTGACTTTAACTCAAAATAAATTTCATTTCCTGAAATCAATAAAAATGAGTAAAGAATTAACAAAAGAACAACGTGGCGCTATATTTTATTGCTGTCAACGTGGCGACAGTTATAGAACTATTACCGTAACTGTCAGATGTGGGCCATCAACAGTATTTGACACTTTGAAAAGAATGAATGAAATCGGAACTACTAATTCAAGGCCCCGTTCTGGTCATTCGCCCCTTATTGAACCTTCGCAACGAAACCAGCTTAAGCGACTTGTAACCAATGGCAAGGGAAAGAATTATCGCTTATGTACTGCTGAAGTTCAACAACTTTAGAAGAAGAAGATCAATCAGGATGTTTCAGCCAACACAATTGTCCAAACACTTCATAAAGCTGGGCTAAGAAATTGTCTTGCCTGACGCAAGCCTTTAATCTCACCAGCAAATATGGAAGCGCGTCTTGCATGGGCTTTAGAACACCAAAGTTAGACAAAGCACGATTGGGCAAAAGTCATGTGGAGTGACGAATCAACCTTTTCCCAATTCCAACAAAACAGGTGTAGTA